TGAGCACATGACTCGTGTGATTTGCTCTGTGAGGAAGTCAAACAGTTTCAGCTGAAGCTGAACGCTACGAGTGAAAAAACACCCTGCAGAGAAAATGTTGGCTGTATCTGCAACCTTGTTCTTTTGGTCACTACCCAAAGTAGTACACACATATTCTAATGGAAATGTTCCTTATCGTGATAAAAATGTGGGAAAAAAAACTGTCTTAAAAATTTTACAAGCCTATTCCATACTTATTTTAAAGGTCAAGATTAGCATTTGCAGAAATAGGATACTTTACTAAAATATGTGGGTAAGGCACAATGCTCATTTTTTCAGTTTTGCTGCTTAAATCAAATTCCAGAGTCGTGAATCAAGACATTTTTCTTTGGGCAAGCTGGCAAGGCAGCAGCAAGACCTGCTGAACCGTTTTTACTGGAAAAACAAACATTCAAGATGATAAACGCCAACTTAAAAAAGGAGGAAATAAGTATATTTGGATTATAGGAGTTTAATTTACCAAGATAAATGTGAAGAGAGAAAAGTTCCTATGACGACTACAAGCTTTGGTTTTATGGCTGTAAATTAAAACTGGATTCTACCAAATTTTAGCTTCAACTACTTCTTAACTTTACAAAAATTTACCTTTCCTGAGTTTTTAAGGCATTTATGGCATTTCGGCAATGGTTTAGCAATTTTATAACAAAACTGTGAAAAACACACAAACAAAAACCTTTAATTTATTATATTTACTGAACTCATTTATAAATCTTTATATATAATATTTTTACATGACCTAACGGTTTATCTACATATCAAAAACAGTCTACTACTGAGAGTTTTAATAATTTGCTTTCTGAGTTTTAACTCGTTTCTGATCATTTGTTTGCTCTAAAGTGAATTAACAAGAAAAATATAATTATTAAAATGATCTTTAATGAGCCAGAGGTTACAGACGTATATGAGAATGTTGGCTGGCCTTTTCGGTTACATAACACGACCTCAGAGCCAGAGCAAAACAGGGTGGAACCTGGAATGTATTACAACAAAAACACTCCACTACATAGACTGATCCGGGACCCAGTGATCGTTTTGTTTACAGTTCATCCTCCAGAACGAACTGAGGGTTTTACTAAGAATTATTTAAAAAAAATATTTGTTTTATTTGTTGGGTGCATGCAGTTTTTAGAAGTAGGTCACCATCACTGGTTTTATTGTTAATATTAGATATTTTATTGCCTTGAAGTTTGAGACTTCATTGGAAATCATCATATCACCTAAGAAATACAGAAGGCGGTCAATAATGTTTTTGCCTGAGTGTTTGTGTGTTTTAGTGAAATATATCCAGAACCACGGATGGATTTTAATGAAACTTACAGAAAGTGACCACTGGATTTATGTTTAAAGCTGGCCAAATTTTGGAGCCTATCCAATTCAAGATGGCCGTCACAGCTAATCAAATTCAGCAAACAGAAAAATAGCTATAATTCATTCACTTTAGCAGATAATTGAGTAACTTAATGTGTTTGCAGCTGAGAATCGCAGACACCATGTATTCTAACAAATGAATGAAAATTGGATGAAAATTAACATATTTCTCAAAATAAAATACTCTCAAGTCAAAAAATCTTCATAAAAAGCAGGACAGGCCTTAAAATGCAATGTTTAAATGTTTAACCGAAGTAACACCTGACAATGTCAAAAAGCAAAGGCAGTCATCTCACGACATGCAAGAAAATGAAAGTTTCTGCTGATTTTGCTCTAAATTGGCTCCAAGTGTTGACGAACGTTTTAGAAACTGACAAACAAATGCAGATGCTTTTAATAATTAATGCAACTATAGAAGTATTGAATTTGACTAATTCTGCTCTTGGATTTATTGGAAAAATCTTAAAGCCAAAATTACTAATCTGCAAAGCAAGCTAGCTTCAAACATTTTTTCATGCTTCTTAACAACATTCTAACAGTTTGGCTATAAATATATTGTGGAGATTTAAAAATGAAGAAAAAAATGCTGAAGTGGTTCTGTTGCATTTGTTTAAAAACGTTAAATAATCGACTGAAACCATCGATGGGGCCATCCGGTTGTTTGTCTAACTGAATCACCACACTTAACCTGGGTTCTCCTCGCATATTCAGCAACAGAACACCGGTATCAGTCAAACATGACCTAGGGATGATGGTCGATGGGAGGGGTGAGATTTCCGTAACTGTCTTTGTGGTTAAAGGCTAGCTTGTTTTGCAGATTTGCCATTGCAGCTTTACTGCTACATTTCTTCTATGAAAACGAGCCCGAGCTTTGCTTCAGTTTGCTTCACTTTGTCATTCCATAACCTCTGCAAACGGGCATAAATGTTTTTCATTTGGAGCACATCGTCACAGCTGTAAGCTAGAAGTGGTCCTCCCTAAAAACGATTAGATAAAACCTCTTTCATTCTCTGCGTAGCTGACGTCACCACGGGGCATCAACTTTCCTCTGAGACATGCAGTGTTACTCTATTACTCTGAACGTCAACTGCACAAAATAAAGTAAAAAAGGTAAATTATTCTAAATAATGATGTATAATTGTTGTATTTTCTTAGATAGGAGGGTTTTACTTTGAAAACCTTGTTTAAATTTAAAAAAAGATTCGAATATCGATTTCTATTTTCCACTGAGCTTTCAATATGTTTACACGAAGGTGTGTGTGTGTGGTTGGCCTAACCCCATTACCTATTTTTGTCACTCTCTAATTTCCATAGATAATAATCAGGTTGGATTTAAAAAGTCACATGTTCATGTCTTTTTATAACCACGCTTAATGAGTTACAACTGTACAACAGTTTTCAAAGTAGAACAATTTTACAACATTTTGAACAAAGTGTAGATGTAGTAGCCTGGCAAGCCCGACTAAATAAATAGATCTTTGCAAAGCAAGACTTTGGTCCAGTCCACTAGGCCACTGATGTAGAGGAAAGACATATAATAAAAAGTTACTCTCCATCTATATATAAGGTTAGAGAGCCCAAATGTAGTGGTGACTCCTTGTATCCATTCATTAGGAAAACAAGAAGCCACTGCACAACTGTGGTGATATTTGCACAGACAAAATTAGTCAAATGTCCAAAAACTGTATTTTTTGAAAGCCCAGATTTATGATGACAGGGATGATGTCCTGAGTGGAACAGAGCACTCAGAGGGTTGCAGGTTCAAGCCCTGTTCAGTCTGTCACAGACACTTAAGCCGCCTTACCTCCTGGTGGTCGTAGGAACTGGTGGCATCTGTGCTTGGCTGCCTCGCTTCCATCAGTTAGCCCCACGGCAACTACGGCTACAATGCAGCTGATCATCAGTGACTGTTTGTGGCATCTAACCATAACACACCACACATGATGAGATAAGATCATCTGATGAGATTATTTTAAGTGCCGTTAGAGTAATCCTGTCCAAATTTAAGATAGTCAGAAGAGGGGGGGCTGGTCAGAAATCAGTATGATCATCTTGCCGTGTGAACCAGGCTTTACAAAGGCAATAATAATTAACTATACAAATAAAACTTGCAAATAACTCTATGTTATAAAGCAAACTAATAAGAAATGGTAACAACATTCTAAATAATAAAGAATAAATAGCTACAACAGCACAGTTGCAAAATGTGTTGCCAATCAGATCTACTGCTCGTGCACATGCTCCTGAGGAGTCACTTTGCAAAACTCTAACAGTACATTTTCTATTTAATGTTTCATGTGGTGAATTAATGCACCTTTTTAATGCCAAAGCAGCCATCTTTTCTCCACACATGTAACTGTCGAGTCACAAGACTTTACATGCTGATGGAGGATTAACTGATGCTGCCTGAATGATAAGAGCATCCCTGAGCCAAAGGAAACAGCCTCGTCCTTGACCTAATTCCCTGCTATCAGTCGGCCGATGTCACTCAGCACTCTGCTTTGAGTCTGATTGGTCAAGCGACATCACACACACGCACACACAGTAGTAAGTAAACACAAACAGAGGGGGAAGACAAGCTGGTACGGAGCAGTGGAGGCACTGCCAAGCCTTCCGTTTCACAGATGAAGAGCAATGATTGATTTCCAGCAGACACAGAGCTTACTGTCCACCCCTGTCCCCTCTTAACCTCCTCGCCCTGCCCTCAGAGGCTTTAACCCATGCGGTGCTTAGCCATAGCCAACGTTCAACCCTCCTACTGTCCTACTTTTTATATAGCTGAATCAAGACTGCAGGAGCGGCATCTTCACAAATCTGCTGAATATAAAAGGTGATGATTTAATGCAACTCCACAAGCATTTATGGTTTGATGGAGGTAAAAGGGGAAAAGGGTGCACTCAGCAAACCTTTTTATACTAATATCAATCATAATTACTGCTTAAATTTACATCCAGAATATTTTAAATAATAAATGTGTCAGTGTTGCAGAATATGCAGAGATTTTGCTTCTAAGCAAATTATCTGGTGGCCTTTTTTGAGGAGGAAATTGATGTTTTAGACAATTAAATAATTCTTTGCTTATTATTGCTGCATCAATATTATTCTGGAGGCAATTGGGTGATTAAAACTGTTAAAATAAAATGTAATAAATACTTCTATTTTAAGCTGCACTACATATAAATCATCCCTGCAATATAAACACAGTAATGGACTTCAAATTATATACGTAGTTTGCAAATTTGATGGAGTCTCACTGCTCCTGACGACCAGTCTGGATGATGAGGATGGAGGTGCTACAACACAAAGGAAGTGATCCCCACAACGGAGCAAAACAGAAAGAGGGAATATGGATTTATTGCAACTTTAAACTTTATTTCAATATTTTCCATGTGTTTACATAGCATTGTAATTTTTTCACATCATTCAGAATAAAATTGGCCTCCACTAATTTATTCATATATTTTTGCTTTAAAAATGAAATTAAACTGATACCCAAGGATATTTGCTCCATGCTGAAAAAAAAAACTTGTGAATTTTAGCCTCAATAAATGACAAAAACTTTAGTTTTTTTAAAAGATCCACTACACACACACCTTGAGAATCCTCGGTGTCAGTAAAGCACGCGACTCTCTTCGACTCAGCGCTCTCTCAGCCTCAGATGGTCCGCTGGGCTCGGCTGCTTCCTTGCAGATGTAGCCACTACAGTTCCTCTCTAATACGGTCCGCAGCCCATCAAACACCACAGCGCTGGTGGTGCACCCCATCCCTCCAACATCCAAGCAGGCATCGGTCAGGAGAGCCTGCTAGTGACCCAGTTTACCTCATCATCCCCTGCTCCTGTCTGGTCCATGCTCTTACTTTGACTCGCAAATCCACGGTTTCTCCCCCAGGAATTAAAATTTCCATGCAGAGGAATCCGAAGGGTAAATATATGCACACAAACACTGATTACGAGCTGCTCCAACAGTCCCCTTTTGGAAATACCTCAGCCAGCAGGCGAGATACAGTGAGTGAGTGAGATAGAGGAGAGAATGAGGGATGGGGGGGTGGAGGTGAAAGATGCTGTGTGAGCTCTGCTGCAGCTTCAACTAATGCTCAGCATCGCCGCATTGAGTGTGTGCATCTGTCTGACTTCCTCACACCTTAGAAATTAAAATTTCTTCCATATTTTCTTTGTAATAGTGACCTTTTACACTGTAATTACTCATCTTATGTCATTTTCAACCTATAGAATTTGATTTCTTGACTTTGTGGGATAAGTAACTGGGACATAAATAGGTTAGACTGGCTGTAAGCTCTCATATCCAGAGGGAGTGTCTGGCTCCATGGTCAGGCAAACAGCAATATGGCTGAATGCTTATTTAGTTCAGATGAAAAACACAAGGCAAAAGCAAATGAGTCATAATGTAAGGTACAGTATATAAAACCCAGCAATAAGCAGCTGCTTCAGTGAAAAGATTAGATTAATAACACATGAAAAAGCCAAAAATTGGAGGTCTAAAGACAGAGTTCTGGCAGTGACCCAGATGGAGCTTTATAGAAATCTCTGTTTGCAAAACAGACCAGAACATGGGAGGATTTCAGTCTTTCAGGCCAAGACATCAAATGAGGGAGTGTTCTTCTGCAAAAGATTAGTAGCACTTGATCACAAGCTGCCCACTCTGCCATGCACACACATACTGGGAGTGCAACAACAAAACTAAATCACAGACAAGGTTTTAGAAATATCAAGAGATGATTCATCTGCCGAAAGGGCCTTTTGTTTGAAATGTCTCCAGCTTGTGATCAGAGAAACAGAAGATAGTAAAGATGTGCTTCAAAAACTGCTAAATCACTTATTTGTATTAAAGCAACACAAAACACTGCTTTCAAACGGTTTTCTGTGGTTCTTGAGCCATAAATTTAAGCTAATTCACATTGGGAAGCGATTAACTGTTTTGTGGTTTGGGTAGGAACACTAGAGGGAGGTGTCTACCTGCTTCACGGCAAAAGCTGTTCACTGCGCTAATGTAAATGCTAGCTGTTAGCTTTTTGAGTTTGACGACCGTCAATAAAAAGCATAAGTTTGTTTCTTTGTAGACATCATGGTGGAGCTTGGAAGTAAAAGGAAGAGAGTAATATATTTAGAGGCCCCCTGCCTCTCGAGGGGGGCGGGGGGCCTTTCTGGTTGCAGTCCCCTTGGGGTTCCTGTGTTCTGGGGCAGCTCCTGGATCTCTGGGACTTGGAGCTCCCCCCGTCTCCTACGCATCTTTGGGGGGAGATCTGTGGTCCCTCACATTCTCTATTGGACGCTCCTATAGAGAAACCTTACATATACAAGTGCGTGTACACACACAGGTGCTCTCAAAAGTATGGGCTTGGGCACGTTCAACACATGTCTTAAGGCTGTGGCTGGCACAAAATGCACTGTGATTTATTATAGTGTGATTGTTCAATTAAACAATGTTGATTTTACATTTCTTCATCACGTTGACGCAGTGATAGCTTGCTCCTGATGTAGTGTTGTGTGTCCCATTTTTTTCTGCACTTCTCTTTCTGCAGGTCTAGAAGCAGACTCTTGTTCATTATTGTTTATTTTTGTGGACCCCCCCCCCCCCCCCACACACACACACACACTCTCTTCCCACCACTTGTGTTTTCCTTTCTCTTTCACCTCAGTCTCCGTGTCTGTTCGGAATTACAAAGATTCAAAAACAATAACAATAAAATTTGAAGTATCAGGCGTGACATTTAAAGCAGACGCTTTAATGCTACACCTGAGAATAAATCTGTAAGGCTTGTTACCAGCATTCAGACATCAATTCTGCTTGCTTCACAGCCAGACAGGACACGGTTAAAAAGGAAAAAAAAAAAAAAGAAAAAGAAATATCAAGAGATGATTCATCTGCTAGAAAGGGCCTTTTGTTTGAAATGTCTCCAGCTTGTGATCAGAGAAACAGAAGATAGTAAAGATATGTGCTTCAAAAACTGCTAAATCACTTATTTGTATTAAAGCAACACAAAACACTGCTTTCAAACAGTTTTCTGTGGTTCTTGAGCCATAAATTTAAGCTAATTCCCATTGGGAAGCGGTTAACTGTTTTGTGGTTTGTGTAGGAACACTAGAGGGAGGTGTCTACCTGCTTCACGGCAAAAGCTGTTCACTGCGCTAATGTAAATGCTAGCTGTTAGCTTTTTGAGTTTGACGACCGTCAATAAAAAGCATTAGAAGAAGTTTGTTTCTTTGTAGACATCATGGTGGAGCCTGGAAGTAAAAGGAAGAGAGTAATATATTTAGAGGCAGAGCCAGAGTGAACTAGCCTGGCAAGCCAGACTAAATAAATGTATTATTTAGTCTGGCCACGCTCCATTGACGGCTCTCGGTTGTGGGGCGGGTTCTACCGTTGTCTTTCAAATGATCTCCACATTCCACTAGACAATGAATGTGACATACTCTTGTATATAGAGTGCCCTGATTGGCCCACAAAGTGGATAAAGCTCTGTGATTTGTTCACTAAGCAGATAGAGCACTATGATTGCCCCACCATTATGGACCAATCACAGCTCTTTATGTGTTTGAAACCCCTCTAGAGAGCTGTGATTGGCTAGCCAGAGTCCTGGTAGGAGCTGCGAAGGTTCCAATGGAGCATGCCTAGACCAAACTTTGCGAAGCAAGAATTTGGTCTAGTTCACTAGGCTAAGAGTGAACAGTAGTGCAGCCTGCACTCTTTTTAAGAAGCTAGAGGATACGAAGACTTGTAAGTATAAAAACGATGTCCAAAAGAGGGAATTTTTTTACTTTGTTGCTTATTAAGTACCACTTGGCTCATGTTAGCACTAGCTCCTTGTTAGTACTAGCTACAGCAGGCTGTAGCACGGTTTACATCAGTTGGAGGAATAAGCAGGATACTTTTTAAATCTTGCTTTAACCCCTTAACATTCCTCTGTCCTGCCTACGGGATTTGATCAACTTCCTGTTCTACTCTTGAGTACAACCGCAACAGTGTTTATGTAAACATATAAAACTATACATCATTGGAGCTAAGAATCTTGACATTCCAGTGAGGTATGCTAATCAAGCACACAACAACAGCTGTAGACACTGTAAACACTTTTGTCCAACCACTTGCAAAATTTGTTTAATCTCACCTTTGATGCTTTATATCATTTACAGAATGCAGCAATCTGGAACAATAATGATCTTTTTTTATCCAAAAGGGTCCAATACAAGTACTCCAGTAAAATAGTTAGTCCACAACAAGTCTCATGTCCACAACCCAACATTATGTGCTGCTGAAAGCGTCCAATATTCCTTCAAATACATTCGTTTTCCATTATGTTTTGCTCATAACGGCCATTAGCTTCCTCGTGTTGGCTTCAAACATTTACACAACCAAACTTGATGGCTAAGCTTTTGACTGATATTTTACTTTATCCAACAGCTGATATTGGATAAGCTGTTTTCCAATAGATGATGGTGTTTACCTTCTCTGCTAATGTAAACTCTTTTACTATTGGCAGATGACTATAAAGTCCCTCCCTCTATTGAGATTTTTGTAGCTTGACCCCATCACAAAGCAGTTTGTCGGCGAGTCAAGCATCATATAGCCAATTAATTTCTGAAAAGAACGATATCTAACGTGGAGGTCTGTACGGTTGGGCATCGTTTGATTTTGAACGATTCCGATTCCAATTCCGATTGTGATTCCTTGTTTCGATTCCAGTTCCTATCAATTCCCGATTCCGATTCTTTCAAGACATGACATGTTTTACATCAGCCAGCTAACCACAGGCCCTGCTTGATGAAATAATCTTAACTTCAACATGAAAGAACAAATTCCTTGTTAATGTACATTTTGCTGGCCAATTGTAATTTATTTTTGTTCATTGTTCGGATGATCGGGTTGCACTACTTTGCTCAGATTGTCAACTGTGTTTTGTTATAATTGTTGACTACACATAAAGAAAAGAACTTACCTTGTGGCATTCATTCATATTTAAGTTCACCTTGGCTCTCCTTACGAATTTATATCTTCTGAGACTGGTCCAGAATCGTCTTTTATTATTAAATATATGTTACTCGGTTATTACATAGTTAGTAAAGGGTTACATAAACTTTGGCTTTGGCAAGGATTAACTAGGCATGGGGCGACGGTGGCACAGGAGTTAAGTGCTCGCCCCGTAATCGGAAGGTTGCAGGTTCGAGCCCCGCTCAGTCTGTCGCTGTTGTTGTGTCCGTGGGCAAGACACTCAGCCCACATTGCCTGCTGGTGGTGGTCGGAGGGACTGGTGGCGCCAGTGCTCGGCAGCCTCGCCTCTGTCAGTGAGCCCCAGGGCAGCTGTGGCTACATCGTAGCTCATCCCCACCAATGTGTGAATGTGTGTGTGAATGGGTGAATGACTGATTGTATTGTAAAGTGCCTTGGGGGGTTCCTGCACTCTAGAAGGCGCTAAATCAAATACAGGCCATTTACCATTTGTCGCTGCCTCTCCCCACTCCAACCAGGCCCATCATCCTAGATAGCTTTGCTCCTGTTTCTTTGCTTGAGTTAACCAAACTAGTTAAGTCTATGAAGACCTCTGCATGCCCCCTCGACATCTTACCCTCATCTTTGTTTAAAGGTGCTTTTCAGTCCATCGGTCCCAGCGTGCTCTCTATAATTAATGCTTCTCTGGTTTCTGGTCAGGTCCCTGCTTACTTTAAGAATGCTGTAATCCACCCGCTTCTTAAAAAAATGAGTCTTGACGCCTCTCTCCATAGCAGCTTCAGACCCATCTCTAAACTTCTGTTCATCTCCAAGATCTTGGAAAAGGTTGTGGCTAAACAACTCACAGCTGCTCTTGATGAACATAACATCTATGATAGCTTCCAGTCAGGTTTTCGTAGAGCTCATTCTACTGAAACAGCTCTTCTTAGTGTCTCTAATGACCTTCTGACTCACAGTGATGCAGGGGACTGTTCTGTTCTGGTCCTGCTGGACCTGACTGCAGCCTTTGACACTGTTGATCATCACCTGCTACTGGAGAGGCTGAGAGACTGCTCTGGAGTGGTTCTCCTCTTATCTCTCTGAGCGCTCCTTTTCTGTGGCCATCTCCAAGTTTAGGTCCTCCACCACCTCTCTTACCCATGGTGTCCCACAAGGTTCTGTGCTGGGGCCTCTGCTCTACCTCCTCTATCTGCTTCTTCTTCAGCACATCCTGAGCTCATTCAAAGGAATCTCCTACCATCTTTATGCAGATGACATCCAACTGTACATCTCCTTTAAGCCCCATGAGATGTCTAAGCTGCAGCTGTTACACACCTGCTTAGACTCTATCAAAACCTGGATGGTGGGAGCTTTCTACAGCTGAATGAAGATAAGACTGAGATCCTCATCTGTGCCCCAGACAAGCTTATTCCCAAAGTCAGAGACTCTCTTGGTCAGCTTGCTTCTCACACCAAACCCTCTGTCAGGAATCTTGGTATGACCTTTGACCCAGCTCTCACCCTGGATTCCTAATGTCAGTTCTCTTGTTCACTCTTCCTTCTTCCATCTCAGGAACATTGCAAAGCTGAGTCCCATTCTGTCCCGCTCTGAACTTGAGACTGTTCTCCACACCTTCATCTCCTCACGCTTAGACTACTGTAACTCTCGTTTCACGTGTCTGAGCAGAACCCCCCTGAACCGTCTACAGGTGGTTCAGAATGCCTGTGCTCGGCTACTGACCAAGTCCTCCAAACACACCTACATCACCCCGCTTCTCCTCCAGCTTCATTGGCTGCCAGTCAACTTCAGGGTTCATTTCAAGGTCCTGGTTCTGGTCTATAGGGCCTTACATGGACAAGCACCATCTTACATTGGTGATCTTCTTAGTCCCTACACCCCCAGCAGGTCCCTGAGGTCCAGTGACCAAAGCCTGCTGGTTGTGCAGCGCACCAGGGTAAAGACCAAAGGTTACAGATCATTTGCTGCTGTGGCCCCCAGACTCTGGAACTCTCTCCCCCTGAGCCTGAGATCAGTGGACTCAGTGGACTCCTTTAAAAAGCAGCTGAAGACTCAATTGCTCAGGCTGGCTTTTGTATGACCTTCACCATTCTCTCTTTATTCTGCTCTCCCCACCTATTCCACCTTCCTCAGGATCAACTGATTTCCCTCTTTCCTATTCACTCTCTCTCTTTCTTTACATATTTTAATCACAATTGTCTATTTTTTGCTCATTTTACATACATTTTAACCATTTTCTAAATTCATTTTTTTATTTTTACATTATTTTTTTGTTTTTGTTAAGCGCCTCGTGATTTTTATCTTGAGAGGCGCTATAGAAATGATATTTTCTTCTTCTTCTTCTTCTTCTACATTATGCGAATCATCAGTCACCAATAGTGATTATCTGGAGAGAGTGAAGTATTCCCTCACATCACAACCATACCCTAAACGTTTGCCCTCATTCCTGCTTTCTGCTGCCGTGTTAATATTTTAGTGCAGGCTGACACACTGAACTACATTTGAAAGCAGAGCTGCAGAAGACAGCAGCTGAACCTGTAAACGAACAAATTCCGGAAGAGCAATG